GAAGTTGGGCTCTGCCCGTGCTCGCTGTCAGAACCAGCGAGACTTGATGGTTTTCGTGACGTGTACACAGGGTTCATTGAGCAAGAAAGTTGTTAAACTCCAACAAATTGAGTTGCAGTGTCTAACGGACATGCCAGCGTCGTTTAAGCAAAAATTGATTGAAACTGTAAATGTTCTCAATCTTAATGGGGGAGGGTGTAACGGGGTTACACGAATCCTAATAACAGTGGTGTGTGTGTCACACGAGGTGTGCATGATGTGACCGCACACCCAAACAAGAATACGGTACGGGGCTAGGTAGCCAGTAGTTATGCATATATTTAGATTTTATTATATATATATTTAGTATATTAGAAAAATCGAAACTTTTAACATTAGGATAGGAATATAAATAAATTCAGTTTGGAATTTAAACCAAATAGTCGATTAGCCTTGGGAAGGCAACAATCACTCTTGGAGTAGCGGATTGCGATCCACTAGCTCATACTTGGTTCTTGTGAAGAACGAAAGGTCGATGACCTAAAGTACGCTTTCTCAAGCGTTTTGCTACGGCAACCCCGCTGCACAAAGTCATTCGGTCATTTGCGCCACATTGTCCCTTTCTCGAGCAAGAAACGGCCCGATTATTGAACTCGATCGAAAAATGTGAGTTTTAAATCTTGATGAAAAGAAACTACAGCAACATATTTCCCCGTCAATATCATGTCGAACCCTTTGAGATGAAGTATACAGTCTTTTCGTGGACGAACGAATCTGCATCGTCGTATACGTTGGGCACTGCCTTAAATACAAAAGTGCTTCGGATCGGTGATTTGGAACTTTTAACTCCACAAATAGCTTATATGTCTGTGTAATGGGCTACCCTTAGCCATCACATGAATGGACCTTTGATACCATCTGTATGCATTGTGGGAGTAAATAAAAGAAGATTACAGTATGGTGTTTTCAGATGCATACGTGATATCTTATATGAAGTCACAAACCTTCTGTGTAATACAGAATGCTGGTTTTTACTTGGGGATCTGTACTGATGACGAGACCGATGTGTCTCTGTCTTTAGAAGTGGGTGGCGTAAGCCAGTCCCTTCTACTGGATACTTTTCACGAAAGTTGAAGTCGAAGTTCAAGCTCCGTACACCCACGATCTTGTTTCTGTTTGGAATGCGGTTTAACCTCAATACACCCTTGATTTTATAATTATGCGCCAAAGGATTTATCAGTAGAATCTCTAGAGCCCGTGGGATGTTTTTCATTCAGCTGGGAGCCAAACATTGTAAATCTAATACAATTGCAAGTTTGTTTTGAAGGCTTAAGTTGTTCTTCTTCCCTCCGAGCCGAGACTGTCCTTCTCCCTCCACGTGGAGAATCGTTTCCTCACGCACAAACTTGTGTGTAGTGTTTGAGGGGCTGTTTGTGAACAGCGCCCTCTTTCACGTGTTATCACTTCGAGCGGTCGTTTTGAACGACAATCGATTTTGGTTTGACGACTCGGCTGTTAAGCACGCCGCCTTCTCCAATCCATGCCATACTCTTATCCTAGTTGGAAGAAGTTGGGGTACCACTCGGTCTATCAGCACAGCAAACTGAGGTGTTGACAAATCAGGTGTTTCCTCTTCTCCGGATGACCGCAAGAACGCAGCTGTCAGTTTCATGCATCATGAGATTATGGAATCTAGGATGTAGGTCGCAACCCCCGTTTCTTCCTACAGAACTATTTTAATGAAGCTGAACGTGTCTTTGTACCGTGGTGGAGAGAAGACGAGCCTCCATCATGATTGCTTTTCGGGTTGGATGCAGCAATTACTGCAAGAGAACCACAAGCAAGTTTTGTTCGCGATGTCCAACCTCGCGGGTCGAGCAAAGAGTTGGACGTAGTGGGAGCGTTTGCCGATCTAAACTGCTTTCCAAGCTACGAACACTTCAAGATCGTGTTTGAACCACCACAGCGTGAGTCCCTTGTGCCCGTGCCGAGTTCTTGAAGCATCTAAGCTCGTTATGACCTACCTCATACGCACAACGTGCTCGCTACTTGGCATCGAGCATTCTCGTCGAGCCAACTGACGTTTTGTTGTAACGTTCATGGCAGTCTTGAATACTGGTCCAATCCAAAATTGATTTTTCTGTGAGTATCCCAAGACGCTAGATGATGCCATCGACCGTGCGATGCATAAAAATTCAGCATCAAGCAAGCCAGGTTCAATGGCTTCGTACCAATGCAATTTCGCCAGTCGACCGGTACATGTGATGACCCAGAGCCAATGGACATCTCGTACATTTCCACGCCTGCAAATGAGTGACCTCGCAGCAGTGAAAAGAGTTTCCGGTAGCAGGAACGTCCATCACATCACCTTCTAAGTTGCTGTACAAGGCTCCTCAAATGGTAATGGGTGCAGCACAATAAAATGACCCTTGACGTCTATAAAAATGCGTGTGAGACGTAAAGAAAATTTGCATGATAAGGCTACTCAAGTACTAGTGCTGTTGGAGATGACGATGTGTCGTCGAAAAAAGGTTAAAAAAATCTATGACGAGATCTAAATTGTTGCGAAATAGAGAAGACGCAGAAAATCTGCTCAACGGACCGGATAGCTTTCGTAAGCTCTCTTGGTCTTGTGTTACGTCGACTCTGTGTCGAGAGTCTCGGTGTGCAGCGACATTATAATCGAATACAAATACTTTACTTGAGATTTGTCATAAGTTCTTGGCGATTATTTAGTTTAAAATCGTCGTGGTCTGCGGGACTGTCAACGCAGCATTTCAATTTAACAAATGGTTAACATGGTTGCATGCAAACCATTTTCGTGATTTGTTGTAGAATCTTCATTCAAGCTACCACAATTACAGCTTACATTGTCGGATTTACAACTGTCTGATACGCATTCCAACACTCAAAATGCACTTTGCCAACACCACTGGCCAAATCGTAAAATCGACCATCGAAACGCCCAGGAATCTGTAAAATTGGTTGCGCACAATGGACGCACTTGGGGGCCACTGACTGCTGATACTGCTCCCAGCACTCATAGTGAACAAGGCGCTCACCCTCAATCTTGTAAAAGCGACCATCAAACCTGCCTGCTAGTTTGACAACTGGCTCTCTACATTGCACGCAGCGTTGCGCAGTGGCCAGCTGATATGCTTCCATGCACTCTCCGTGGCACTTGCCTCCGGCAACCTGGTAATACTTGCCGTCGAACCGGCCAGGAATAGCAGCAATCGCATTGCCGCAGTGGATGCACTTTTCAGACGTACGGATCTGATACGCATCAATGCACTCGGCGTGAACACATGAGCCATCAGGAAGGCTAAACATACGCCCCGAGAACCGTCCCTCCACTACTTCAATGCGCTGGTGGCAATCCACACAAACAGGAGTGTTACGCTCACGATACGCATCTACGCAAGCCCCCTGGCACACACGATCAATCTTAATCTGTCCCTCTTGATCATGCGTGAATGTACGGAAGGTGCCAGAGAGAGCTTTTTGGCATATACAGCATACGGGTAGTGAGCCTGTGTCCGAGACGGGCAACACAGCCGTCGGCTTGGATGTAAAGAGTGTCATGGAGTAGCCCAGTTGGAATGGCAGATGGCCATCATAAGTTGCAGGGATTATCACAAACGGCTTGTCACCATCAGGTGGCGTCAACGGGAGCTCCAAGACGCAGCTGCGATTGGAAATGAAGGTACCTGTAGCGAACACGTCCTGCGAAAGATCGATCTTGCGCTGTTGCCGCACGCCATTTTTGACGACAACTGGCGCGATATAAGATGTGTACTCCGTTTCCATCTTCATTCGCCGAGATGGCTGTTCCAAATGGATGATAAGATTGCAGCCATTGGTAGCTGGCGAAAAGAGTTGCACCTGTGGATTTAAGTGCATGGCGTCTCGTCCGCCGCTAGTGATACCATTCCACTCACCTGACACGATGTGGATACTCAGACTTGGTGAGACAGGATTACCAATTCCATCTGGAACAGATCGAAAATTGTATAAGTTACGCGACTCGATAATAGTCGTGAAGAAGCAGAAAAACGCGCTGAAATCCATCCAGTATGTGTGGTCCTCGCGAAATTGAAATCCACACTCAATCTTTTGCATACGACTAAAACTGTACCATTTTGAATCTTCGTTAGACCATGGGCCCTTCCACTTTTCTGGCTGATGATGCGTTCCAATGCCCCAGCTATTGCGCAACTGAATTAAACGAGTGTTTGTGCCCTGGTACGTAAGTTCTACCACTTTCATGATACCATAAGCATCGGTCTTGCGAAGCCCCTTGGGCAATTCTGCTGTCATATCTTCATTGCTACAACCTACAAGAGAACCCGCTTGTAACGCACTGATCATCATCTGCCACGCAGCTTCCTCATTTTGACACTTTTCGTGAAGCGTGTAGCGACTAGGAACGCCGCCGTACAGATCCTGCAAGACGTACCCTTCTTGTCCACCAACAATTGCCTCGTATCCACCGTGAAGTTTCGCATATGCCTTTTCGATCAACAATGACCAGATTTCAAACTTGTCGCTGCTGCCGGTGAAGGATCCGAAAACGGGCTTGCCGTACTGACTACATGGTATGAAGTCATCAACAACTACAACGCGGCTGCGATTGTTGCGCCAAAATCTTACAGCGTACACGCCCTCTTCGTTGTACTGTTGTTCCTTAGGAAATGCTGAGCCGACTTCTACTCGTTCTGGACGTATCATGTCGTCGCTTAATTGTGGGAAAACTTGTGACAAAGCAAGCTGTGATGTCGATAGAATAGACAATGCACCGAACACGTACGCGTCAGCAAGCCTTCCCACGCGCATGTCACCGGGACTTATACCAACGCCCGAAATGCGGCTGGCAGCTTTGGACTCGCGCGAGCGATCAAAGAGACAAGTGCCTTGAGCATGAAAGTACACAGGTACTAACACCGAGACACGCGACACGATTCCAGACTCTGTACCATCGACACGATAGCCCGAACCTTCTCCCACACTGGAAAATGCAAGTGGTTTGTAATGATCAAGGAAACTCTTTTCCCACATGAGCTCAAACCGTTGTAATCCATCCTGCACATACTCACTCATATGTACAATCATATTTTTCGTAAGTAACAGCATGTGATCGCGCTTACGCTTTGTGACGCCCGTGGTCACAGCTTCCTTAGCAATTCGTAAAAATTCTACGTTAATGTTTGTCGATGTTTGCCGAATCACTTGCAAGATATTTTCTGCTTCCACCGAATTTTTGATCGACATACTACACACAAGTTTCTTCTCGTCGTCTAACATCGTAATCTCCACGTATGCCGTTTCGTTAAAAAAATCCGTCACGCGCTTCCACTTTCGAACATACTCATGAAGATGCGGATACTTTGGATTATTTGTATCTCGAAATATTGATGACGCGTCAGGCGGAAACTGGGGATCCGTAAACTTCGTCCCCGCCTGACGATTTTTGCGCAATATATGTAGCCAATCATCATTGTCTGGCAGTGTGCGCTGATTGTAATACCGCTCTTCCACTGGATCAGCGCGTTCGTTCTGCACAACAGTAATCATGTCGTTCACCTTGGTTACATTGTAGCCTTCAATGCGCTCTTGTGGACTGACACGGTTGCGTTCTACGGCATTAGAAATTTCTAGCCTTGTGCTTAAAGAGTCCATGTTGCGAGCGCGCACAACCTGTCGAATAGACACTCCCTGACCGTTTCCATCTGGTTCATCTCGTTCACCTTCATGTTTATGTTTTACATTAATTGACAAATTCGCAAGCAATTTACTGATATTGCTACTTGATTGAGACGTGCTCTCCAATCCAACTGAAGCCGGCGGCTCAACGGGTGTTGATGGCGTCTGTGGTGCGGCGTAAGGGTCATACGCAGAGGAGGAAGCAGGCGAAGTGTACGGATTGTTTACCAACGATGGAGCCGAAGTTGCAGTCGGAATAGGCGTTGCAGTGTATGCCGGGCTGTAGCCCACGCTAGCTGTGGTCTTCAGGCTCGAGCTTGCTCCATAAGCTGCCGATGGCGTTGGGACAGCCGGAGTGGCATTGGTCGTAGACGTTGAGCCAAATAGGCCTGTTTCGTTAATTCTGGCTGCAATGGGTGGGGTTGAAGAATTAGCCATTGCCGCCGCAGGGCGATGAGCACCGCACTCGCCGCAGAAAAGGGCGGTCGAGTCTCCAAACGGCATTTTGCACTGCGTGCAGTTGTTAGTGGACGGAGCGCTGTAACTCGAAGCAAAGCTCGTCACTGGTGCTGCATCAGAGTTGAGTGTAGTAGACGCAGCTATGCTGTAGCTGGGCGTAGAGAAGTTTGAGGTAGAACTGGGGAATGTATTTGACGAAGGCGCAACGTAGGACGATGAGGAACTGAATCTCGAGCTGGACGACGCAAGAAGGTCGGAGGAGGATGCTGGCATGGACGTAGGAATAACTGGAGATGAAGAAGGGACGTCCTCACGAGGGGCACCGCACTCAGCGCAAAAGCGCGCATTGGCGATCTCATCGGGCTCCCAGCGGTGGCCACACTCACCACAAAACATGATGTCTACGTTTTGGTCAGATGTGCAAATGGCGAACAGTGACTGATCAACAATCAGACAACTTGCGTACCTTGGTACTATTTGATATTTCGATATTTCACAGATTTTCAGGAGCATGCTATTCAAAAATATAAGAAAAATTAATAATCAAACGTGGTCGATACGTTAAAGCGTAATATACGTAGTTTTCACAGTATCATATATACACTAGCAGCTGTCGTTGCTTGCTCATTTGCTGTTTTGTGTGTGATAGATTTGTCTAAGCGCACAAACTTGAGACCTTGTCTACCATATGATTCACATTTTGGCTGACGAATTCTTTTCTCCTACTAATATTTGTTGCAGAAGGGAATTATTGCACTTCAGGATAGAAAATTTACGTATGCTGGGCGACAACACAACAGTTGAAAACTTGAGACCGATAATTTCATAAGTAACTTAACATTTGCTCAATTTTACAAATATGTGATAGAATTAACATAAATTCAAACAGCTATGACGATCAAGCCTGCTGCAATGTGTTTGTGTTGTCTAATGAGGCCGACATTTGTATCCACCGAATGAGAATGTGTGCCAAAAATTGCGGTAGCGATTGCGTAGACAATACCATAATGTAATTAAATGAGCACAGCAAGCGACGCGCGAATTGTTCGGTTTCAAGCCCATATCTGTAGGAACTTTAGCGCACGGGCTTCCAGTGAGAGTAAAATTGAATTTTCATTGCGAAACGCTAGCTTTTGTGATTTGACGTCAATCGCTGTAGCTCAGTTTTGGGTTGGACAACATCTCTTCAAGGTTTTAGACTTGTGATACTAAATTCTTGCGGATCTGCTTCATCTTCTCAAGCTCTTCCTTAAAGCTGATTGTCACGCGTCAAGTGCAACAATGATCCTCTAGATCAACACGCTCCTGTAATTCCATCAGTTCGTCGTACCAAACATGCTGTTAGTTCTCTTCACTTGGCCATGAGTAGTAGATCCAGCTTCGGACGTTTGTTGGTCAGCAAAGACATGGCTGTTTCGAATGAGTTGTTATTTTTATCAGTATATTTGCGCTCATTTGCACTGCGACGCCAATCATCAACCAAGATATCAAAGCGCCGTCGTATAACTCTTCATGGCTTTTTGCCGTGTTTTGTTTCCAAGTTCGCACCAGTTTTCCTTAATCGTCAGAACAACCTTTGTTATCATCACGAATGTCGAGACTCAAATGACGATCTCACCTTTTCGCAATCTCATGTTTGTTGAGTCCGACAGGCGGCGTTTAAGTTAATAAAGGTCCTACGGTGGCTAACTGGTAGTAAGCGACTCTCTTGGGTGACGAGATTTCTTGCGACAAAATGCGGTGTGGGCCCTGATAACTCTCTACAAATAGCACGGCATCCGCAAAGTCTGCCTCCAGATGTGAGCAACCTTCGCAAGAATGTATATGCGACGTGGACAACGTTAATGAATGAAGTTCCAGGGTATCCGTGTCATCAACATCTCTAGCCTCAGAGACAAAGGGCCTATATGAAAGCAACCGCGCACGAAGTGCTCGTGCAGGCGACAATTGCCGTACGATGCGAGCGACTTTGCCTTCGTAAGTGACTTTTTATTCTATACGACAGGTTATGGGGAATATCGAGGCTGTATCTTTGTCAAAAACCTTTCACGATGGTGTCAATCTCTTTGATGGTGGCCGCCATGGTGCTTGTGGTCAGCGCTCTTCTTATGCTAGGAGATCGAGAAGACCTTCCTTCTTACGTGACGTTAAAGCAACAGTGGGAAACAAGCAGTGGATACGACCTGGGTGATCTATCGTCTCCCATTCTTTATGGACAGCCACTCATTATTCTAGCCTATTTGGCTCGCTTACCCGTGTTAAGTCGTATCCTGTGCAACCAATTGGCAAAGGAAAACAAAATTATTGAAGCTCGCAAGCTTGCAGCTTCTATTGCAGATCTACCGCTATATTATCCGTACGTAGAGCCCACCCAGAGCGACGCAGAGCAAGGAGAAGAATCACTGTCTCTCCTGGAATTTAGCAAGAAAGGAGTCAAGAAAGAAAAAGCCACCACTGCCTTTAAGCATTGGAGTATCTCCGACTATACGGTGCGGTACACTTCGGGTGAGGTGACACCCGTGCAAGTGGCGAAGGCTCTGCTGGCGGCCGCTGAAAAGAACCAGCAGAGCGAATATCCTCTTAACGTGTTTGTAGAAAAACACGATGACTGGATCATGGCCCAAGCTCAGGCGTCAGCAGAGCGCTATGCTCGCGGTGAGCCTCTTGGCGTCTTAGATGGTGTACCTGTGGCTATCAAAGACGAAGCTCGCATCAAAGATCACCGTATGTTTATTGGCACGTCTTTTTTAGGATACGAAGAAGAACCTGCAACAAAAGATGACACGCCAGTCGCTCGGCTTCGTGCGGCAGGAGCCATTATTCTCGGTACGACTAACATGCATGAAGTTGGTTCAGGTGTCACGGGTTACAACAAGCACTATGGCACGGTTCGTAATCCATACAATCCGAAATGCTACAGTGGTGGGTCGTCTAGTGGTTCTGCTGCAGCAGTTGCATCTGGACTGGTACCGTTGGCGCTTGGTTTAGACGGTGGAGGCTCAATCCGTATTCCTTCCTCGCTTTGTGGTGTTGTCGGTATGAAACCCACGTTTCAACGCATCCCTTTCGCCGCTGCTGACTGCCCTTCCGTAGCCCACGTCGGTCCTATTGCAGGTTCTGTGCGTGACGCTGCTATTGGATATGCGATCATGAGTGGAAGTGATAAGTCGTTTCCTCTCGGAATGACGCAACCATCTGTGGACTTGCATTCGTTTGAAGACACGTCCTCCCTGAAAGGTATTCGTATCGGTTACTTTCCTGAATATTCGAACCATTCGTCTCTTGAAATTGCTGAGGCAGTCACCAAGACACTACAAGCTTTGAAATCTCGCGGAGCGGAGTTGATCGAGACACCACTTGATCACCTATCAGCTATACATGTCGCTCATGCTATTACGATTACGTCCGAATTTGCTCAAAATCTGGATAAGTACTACGAGCGCTTTGGTGAAATGTCACCGGAAACACAAATTATCCTGGCGTTTGGTCGGAGCTTCACTGCTATGGATTTTCTTGCTGCGCAGCGTATAAGGGCTTTTGCACTTCGTCAATTTCAGGAGAAGGTACTCAGCAAAGTACATGCGTTCGTGACACCCTCGACCGGCATTACTGCTCCCGAGATTCCGCTTGAGGCATTTAAGGCTGGGGAGCTAAACGCGGCGCAGATTGGCAACATCCTTCGATTTAGTGTATATGGTAATCTTATTGGTGTGCCAAGCATAGCTGTGCCGATTGGGTACGACTCTCGCGGGCTTCCGATGTCGATTCAGTTTCAGACTGCTCACTGGCAGGAAGATCTAATGCTACGTCTCGCCCATGTTACTGAGAAATTGTACGCAGAGATACAAAAGAGACCACAGATCTATTTTTCCACTCTTGACGACGCGGCCAATTATGCAAGCAATTAGTCGTTGAGCAATGGTCCTTCGCGAGGACAAAAAGTTACCTTATTGTTGGTTTTATCTTTCATTTTATTTGAACTTGTCATCAGTTAACAGTCTGAATTAAAGCTTTGAGTTGAGATGACGCCGTATATGGCTGTTTTTGTTTTCATTATGTTGTGTCCGTGGCAAATTTTGCACAAATTTTGCAAAGCTGAGCAGTCTTTGGGTACAATAGCCCACCTCTCTGATAATTAATAGATAGGTCATGCATGCATGGTCGCTAACATCATGGAACCTTAATCCAGAGAGTGACCTTTTGAAGAGGTAAATTATTGTACACAGTTTTACAAACTGTGTACAAATATATATAACCACAACTTCCAAGGAAATCGGTATTCATGAAGATGATTGAAAGGTCTGGCGTACACTTCCACGTCAGACAAAAAACATTTTATTATAACAGATAGTAAAGCGAACGTATATAGTAATAGTATGACTACCATTAAATTTCAAAATATGTACTCTTGTAAAAACTAAGCTAAGAAGACACCTTAGTACCCTACTGAGATACTCTACTATATCTCGTTTTCGCTCTTGTTTGAAGCGTACAGACCCGACCTCTGTGCGTTTCTTAACGCCAATTCTTAACGACAACCCTCCCTCTTTCTAAAGTCCAATACAACCCCGTTGCACTTGACAGTACTTGGAGTCAATCCCACGACCGAGTCGTGAAGCGACTGTATCTTTTGCTAGGATGAACATGAGACTTTAACCAACTTCGTATGCTTATGTCCATAGTTGGTACCGATGGAACCAGAAAAGTGCTAGACGAACGGCCTGAGGAGGTAATTTAACTGCTTGGAGGCTCTCATCGGCTCTAGAAACGTGCTGATGAGGCACATCTCGAAACTCCACAACGGGCCGGCGCCGATGAAAGATCAGCTGGTACCCATCATGCGGCAACAGGTGTTGATTATGGAGGCCCTCGAAGCAGATACAAAGAAATTCTGTCTTTCTGGGGAAGGGGAGTTAAGATGGTCATGATTTTGGCCATGCTCCAAACGGAGTGGCAGCGCATCGCGATTGCGGTCTCCAAGAAAGGTGAGAATGGGACACTCAAGTGCAATACACTGACAATAAGGGTTTCCAACGTGGCAGGATTTGGAATGACATCGTGGATGTTTTCGCACCGTATCACTAGGTTTATAGGATGCCTTGTCTACCCTTCAAGAAAGGCGAGAAGTGGCAGACTTTTTTATCTCGGGGCATTTAGATTATATCGCCGCAATGGCGTCAGATCCTCTCCTGGCGGTGGTAACAGTCCCCATATGCATGGACAATATCTGAACGGGTGCGGCTCATACCGAGAACTTCCATGCCCACCCTTGTTGGCGTTGCACACTACAGATTAAATTTATCATACCGTGAGGGCTGGGTGAGGTGCAAGGAATGTAAGATCTAAGAGCTTTGTGGGAGGCAATGCACCCCAGCTACGCTGAAAAAGAAAAGCTGATCTTTTAGCTGCTGATTAGTTTGCATTGCCCGCGATTTTTTCACCTGCGATACAAATATCTCTGCCTTGATTGTCCCATTTTCTTACGGCTGAAGAGCCAAAAATCGTCTTACCATGCAAAGGAGGACGTCGTGTCCTCACGGGAAGAGTTGTCGGGGCAATATTAGCGCAGAGTAGCCAACTGAAGAAGAGCCGGACTCTGTTGTACCCCGTGAAGGTCGTGGTCAATTACTTCAGTCACAAAGATCGCGACTCTTCCTAAGAGAGGTGAGGCGCATAAGGCAGGATTACTTATTGTTAATATCAACGTCTTGAGCTTGGTGAAATCATAAGACCATCGTACAATTTGGGGGAAATCAATGGATAGAAGGCGGACACTTAGAAAAAAGCTAAGTACGGGTGCGATATCCGTGAGTCTTGTGACACAGACAGTAGTAAAGTGTCAAAATCATGTTAAACTATCAAGTGAAGTGTGAAAACTTTTGGAGCGTGGCATATTTTCCAGTCCTCGGCCTGGGATCGAGATACAACCACATCGTATGTGTGGCGTAGATGGAACGCTGACGAGTTGTGGATAGACTGGAAATCGAGATGGTTAGACGCCAAGGAGCTCTCATTGAGCTTTGGTGACCCATAAGTCCACATGAACCAGGAAGTGAAGCGCTATCGGCGCTGACAGGAAGTTGTGATAGCTTCTGTGCCGGTTATCTGAAAATGAGAGCAACGAAATTTCTTATTTTCTCGAGCACAACTTGGAAGGCAGACGTGCTAGTAAGCCGCGGTCTCCATAGTATAAATCGATTGAGAAGGAAAAGGACGACTGTGTGCCGTGGCCTCCAATTGTATATCGGCGGGTTGCTAATTATCAGCTGTAAACCGAAAGTCCTGGGCGGAGTTAAAGCGCGATTAACACAAGGGCCAGGTCCTGAAGTTGCAATGCTCGGGGCTCCTATCCAAAATGCCTTTGGTGTTCGACAACTCGGATACTCCAGTATTCAGCACATTGACCGTCCCAGTCCAGTGCCCGCGCCAATCGTACCTCTTCTTCCTAGCGGAGGTGGTTTCATGACTCACCAAAGCTCCACCAAGAAACGTGCGCGTAGCGCCGAAAGTCTTCGACCTCAAATCAATTTATGACCCATGGTGTTCCAACCATTCCAAACCAAGGATAAGGTCATACCTTGCATCCAAGTCTAAGACTTGACAGCGTTCCACGCTAAAAAAGTCAAGGAACTTGACACCGAGGTCCAAAGGGACCCTTGGTACAATGACACAAGCCCCCGTCGCTAAGCGAATAGCGACGGTTTCACCATCGCATCCAGCGACTCAGCATACAGCTGACTTCCTTCAATCATGTAGCGTCGAGCATAATTGCCCGACGCACCAGAATCGATTAGGTTTTCTCATAGCTTATCAAAGCCCTTCACAAGCCCTTCACGGTCGCATATACGACTAGTAAGCCCGACTTGCACACACATACCGTGTTCAAGAGCACGGAGCTCTTCGGGGCTGTGCCCTACTGCCCTCCACCTCGTTGGGTCTCAACACGTTTCCCCGCGACAAACCAGGCTGGTTAGAAGCAGGACGTCGGTTCGACGAACCTCAACGCGACTCGCGGAAGGGACAATTCATCCGAAAGGGACGGTTGTCTCCACAAACAAAACTCCGTCGGCTGTTTACACGCTGCTCAGCAGCTCGAAGCTCTCCCTTCTCCTTCTCAGCATAGCTGAGATCCACTGGCTCAGGCCCGCTCGACGAACTCTGAAGTTGTGCATCAGTCACTACGACCGCCTTGGGGAGAGGATCTGCTTCCAATCCGGCACTTGGAGTTTTCAGCTCTTGGACAAACTCCTTCTTGCCTTGTCGAGCAGCTAGGATCTACGATATGCCTAATTAGGCGGCAAGATCACTCGCAAACGCCGAAGCTTTAGCTCCTTACAGGGCAGGAGCGCAGCTTCAACCGAAGCACCGCACGTTAGTACCCATTCTCGCGCCCGGTCACCGGCCTTAGAGCAAGCTAGCGCCACGCGCTGTTGCTCGTTTTGGAGCATGGCGGATGCCATAGTCATCTCGACTTCTCTTACCCAGAGTCTAAAAATACTTCTATCCTTACCCTCGAAGGTCTGAACGCTCACTTTGAGCAGCCTGGGTCAGAAGGAATCATCTGTCATCGACGGTGACGTCATTTACGCTGTCGACGCTGACAGCTCCTGCAGTAAGTGATCTAACAGAGCATTTTCATAGTGTGAAAACGACTCTAGGCGCGCGCTTATAGATTCGAGCTCTTGCATAACGAGGTGCTCCGCGCCCTCAGTGTCTAGCAGGGACATCACCTTTTTAAGCCCGTCCTGCATACCCTAAGGCAGATAAAGGTATTCTTCCTTTTTCTCAGAGGACCAGTCGTAACGACTCAGGTGTAGATTGACTACGAGTGCTACCAAGTGCAGCGAGGCTGCCGTAGCTCTTTGCTCAACGGAAGCTGATCTAAGGTCACCGACCTAACGTTCTTTCAAAAAACTAGTACAAGCGTAGCAGATCGCGATCCGCTACTTCCAAGTACTTAAGTCTCACCAAGGCAAACGAACACTTTTGTTTAAAAACGTAGTTGTTTTAATTGTTTTAGTTGCGGTTGAGCCGCCAATATCTAAAACCCTGGGTTTTTCATAAATAATATATTGATACCTAATTAATATCGTAATATTTATCACTACTGATAATCCTTCCACGTGGTGGCTTCTTGTTACGGTGTAGCCACACCACTGTGTGATTACACTAACTGTGTAATACAAACCTATGCCAGGTCGCACAAGATTGTGCGATCCGCCCTTTCTTACGAGAGCACGTGTAACCCCATTTCACTTGTAATGATGTGACGTCGGTACCGTACCGCTGAGTCAGCCCAATTGACCGCTCAGAGCACTGAGGTCCACGGGTAGGTGGCGAGAGCAATCATTTACTTGTGAAGAGATATCGGGGTAGTCACAGGATTGTTGGATTCTCTTCACTCCAACAACAGACTATCTTATAGAGCAAAAGTAGTTTCCTCGATTTCTTTCAGAACGTTTTTCGCGGTGTCAATGGTACTTTCCTGTGGAACATGTACCAAGAAATGGCAAGACAATTAAATCATTGAAATGATACAATTGGTGGTGGAGGAGTAATAAAATTATCATCACTCGTAGGCGAGTGTTTTTATTTAGAAAACTGTATTGCACTCGGTTGTCCCTGGAGCAAGAAGTGCGTCTTGAAATTGGCTAAAATCAAGACGCCAAATATTGCGACACACGTTTTCAAGGGACAATGTGAGGTCATCGACGCTTTCTTCCGGTTTCAGATGAATCAGTAAATGGAATAGCTAATAAAATAATCAAAGAATAATACCAAGTATTGTAGAAAAGTTTTGGTCTGTTTGGGGTGAAACACGAAGAAGATTGGTTATATGCGAGTAAATAGTTTTGCTCAGTGCTGACTTTCTGTGTCAGAAAGGCTAACTAAAAGTTGTGTATGTGCA